AGTACACATTTTATAAGATATGCTTGTTCACGAGTAATAAAATATTAGTCTAGAAAGATTAGCTTTTTGAATGATGAATTAATATTTTATTTCTATATCAATCTTTAAAAAAATGAATTGATAATTATTTTGCATAAAATGCTACCGGATTAGTAATTTTAAGATAAAGAAAGCACACATGTTAAATATTTTAGGCGAAGGGAGTACACATTTTATAATATATGAAAAATAAAACAATGAAAATGAATCAAGAAAATTACACAAGTTCATTCATAACTTGTGATAGCTTGTCATATACATTAGTAGTTCTCCACCAATGGTTCGGTATTTGTTGTTTGTTTACCATTCATTTTCGCTTGGGGGTCATGTACAAATCCAGTTTGTTACTATATTCATCTAGTTGTTTGATGTTTCGACACAGTCTTAAGATCATCAAAGGTCATGAAGAAGAATAGTTCTTCGACAATCACGTTTGGCAAGAGTCTTCGATTTATTCCGTTTTGATTCAATGCAATCTTCACCCAGCTCAAAATTTGACAACATTCTATATGATTGTTTGTTTGTTCGGCCAGTTCCCTTCGTCCATCATTGATGTAGCAAATATAATTTAGTCCAAACTGTTTTCAAGGTTTTTTTTCTTTACAGAACTACTAAACAAGGACTAAAATAAATACATGGAAATTTTCTTTTACTCCCTCTGCCCTGAAGTCTCCATGGAGTTAGTTACACAGGGGAAATATATACATGGAAATCTTTAGTAGATAGAGCTGTTTATTATACATTACAACTTCTCATAAGAGTAGTTTGAATCCAAAAAAAAAAACAAAAAAACAAAATCAATCTCTATAAGTTAGACGAGTCATATCCCCTTTATCTATACTGGCCTCTGCTTCAGACAAGGAATCATCATTCTGCCCCAGCAGGAAGTCACAAATCTCCAGAAGCTGATCAGCAAGGGGAGGGATCCCCGGGTTGCGATTGTCATTGTACTTGTGTGCATTATAGGCAATCTGATACACATCATGCCTGAAATCGTGGCGGTTTTTGTACTCCAATTTCCTAACCTTGTCCCGAATGGTGGATAGGTCCATAGGGCGATCTATGTATTGCAGGTAGTCTGGGGCTTCCTTCTTGGACACTGGTCTCAAGAAGAGGCGAGACACTTCCCGTGCCTTCAAGGTCTCAACAATGCCCTCCAGTATGTTTGACAGCCCAACCTGCACAAACCACATAAGCAACCGCCTTCCAGGAAGATATCCACTATTTCATTGTTAATTTTTGAAAGAAAAAATATGCTAGGCCCCGTTTGGTAGACGGAATTCAAACTATGGAATTGGAATTGAGGACTTCAATTCCAATTCTGGTGTTTGGTAGCACAAAAATTATGTAGATTTGAAATTGATAGTGCAAAAAATGAATTGGAATGGGTGAATTCAATTCCATGGAATTGAATCCCATGAAATTTTAATTTCAATTCCAATTCCATCAATTCCATATACCAAACGGACCCTTATTGATAATAAGTATTGTGGAGTATTATTCTTAGTATTATATAATAAGATCCAGGTTGGCTGTACTCCTTGGTGGGTGACTCACGACTGTATTCCATCAGTCTCAGCTTATAGCAAATTTAATTGTGGGCGTGCTGTTAAGGGTGCTAACCACCACCAAGGGGTACAATTGATGATAGCACAGGACAAGGGAGCAAAATTTGCAAAAACCACATTACTAGGAGAAAAAAACCCAAATTAGTCCCCCCTTTAAGAGAGAATTTCAAGTACTAAGCGCTCCTAGCCAGAATTTTATCCCCTTGAATAAGGGGCAAGTTTCCATTGTCTGAATTCCTTTTTAGTACATTGTTAACTTTTGCTTGTTGTCCCACACCTGTAACAGTTCTAGCCTACTGATGCAGGCTGACAGGGAGGACTTAAGTCCCAAAAAGGGGCACAAACCAAGCATAGTTTCTTGCAAAAGTTAATGATGTCAAAACTTTGTACAAATGAAGGACTAAAAGTGCAATTTACTTCCAAAGGAAAGAGCGAGATGATATAATAAATACTAACCTCTCCGAGCCTTCTACGCTTGGAGGAAGGAGTATAGTCTATGCTATGCCTACCCCCAAAGTCAACTTCAGTGGACCTACGTTTTGCTGTTCTGTCTCTATCCAGCATCATCGTTCTATTGTGTTGTTTCCACAGAGGAATATCATCCAAGTAATTACTCCGGAGGAAAGGTTTATGTTGAAGTAGTTTTTTCTTCTTTTTTGCCTTTCGGCCCTCCTCTTCTTCTTCCCTCTCTTTCCTTAAACTATCTTCATATCTTCTAAGTTCAGCCAACCTTTCCTGCTCTTCAAATGCCTTGTGCCGTTGCTCATACAAAAATCTCTCTTCTCTCTCCCTCTCAGCTCTCATCCTTTCTTGCTCTACCCAAAGATTATGCTTAGCCTGCATATTTTTCCTCCTCGATACCTCTTCGGGGTAATGAACCCTTTCATGATCCGTTTGAATATCAAAGCATGACAATTCGACAATTTTTTTCATTTTCCTATGTTCGAACCCACTACTTCCTTCATCATCCATGTTATATGAGTCCTTTGATTGTTTGATTATGATTTTCTTGTGTGCCTCATTGGGTGGTTTTATTAGAATGGAGGGTTTGTGTAACTCACCACCTGCACCATCTTCAGGAGGTTCAATATGATTATTAAAGTTAGAAAACTTCAACTTATTGATCTTCACCACCGGCTTGGATCCGGTTTCACCATCAGAAGTTACCAGTTTATCAGAACTCAGGGAGGTAGCAGGAGTAGGTTTATCAGAAATTTTATCCATTGAACCATATTTAAACTTAAGTACTTTAGCCTTTGAGCTGCCAGTCTTTTCTTCTTGAGCATCAACAACAGCATTTTTTGTTCCACTTCTTTGTATGATCTTCAGAGGCTTCTGTAGAAGGGGTGTATCTAAATGCTCTGATGAATTACCTTTAACCAAAGCCATTTCTGGATCTAGGATGTCAACATCTCCGCCATACTTGGGACAGTGCTTGTTAGTTCTCATATGGCCAACCTGGTAAATGAATAAATAAATAAATAAATGAAATAAATAAATAAATACAGATATGCGAGTATGTAGGTGTATATGATTAGGAATGTTAAACTCTGTGGAACTAGAATGTTTGGGATTGATGGATAAAAACAATTTTAATGGTAGGCCAGAATTTAATTGCCCAAGCCTTTAGCCTTCCATGATTTGCTGAAACTGATGTCATCCATGAGTTGCTAAAGGCTTAAGCCTTCTAAGAATTCCTGAAGCCAATATCTTCTATAGGACACCGAACCCCTTTCGCCTTCCATGATTTAGTTAACTTTCAACTTTCCATGAATTGTAAAAGCAGAAGTCTTCCCTGAGTACACTAATCCTGGCCGTCCATTCTATTTTTTTTATCATATGGCCTCAATCATTATACTTCGGCAGAGTTTCATCCATCACACACACAAACACACACACACAACACACAACACACAACACACACAAAGACAGGAATTCTGGAAATAAGAAAATATAGTGGCAAAATGGCAAAATCTTTCTATTTATGAAATTATACATGTAGAACTTTAAAAAATCAATCATGATTTTGATTTGCATCTTCCAGGGTAAAGCCAAGGATAATAAATCTATTTTCCTTTGGATATTTTTCATTTCCTACTACTTTCCATATTTATAATACATACCTGACCACAAGCCCCGCAGATAAAAGTCTCTCTGGCAGACTTTTTCTCCTTGGCACTCTGTTCAAGGGGGGGATATAGTTTATTCAAGTTCAGTATCATCCCATATAGAGTTTTAGGCTAGTTGAAAGAGGAATTGAGACATGTCCTAAACCTACGAATTAAATCCAGCTTTGCTGCTTTTATTAGAACACTCAGGAGTTGCTCATCACAAACCATATTAAATGGTTGGATCGCGACCTGGCTAGTAGTAAGTCCGCAACTGTCTTATCTCGATTGGTCGGCTGCATATGCTGATTGTCCTAATGGACAATCAGCAACAGTTTGTCACAAATGCAGCTCCTTGCTTGATTGCAGCCGTCCAATCTCCAATAGACAGTTCAAATTGCAAAATACATATATTGCTTGTCCAAAGAAGAGCAGATTATGGGAATTCATCAAAGAGACATCTGGTTTTGGGAATTATTATTCAACTTAATATAGCATCCAAGAGCAGATTCATATTCAAGGCCAGCAGCAGGTGTCAAAAATATCATTTCTGATATAGGATCATTAAAAGAAAAGAACAAAACCACACAAATCTCAATAAGGATTTACCTGAATTCCATCAGCGAGTATTTTAACTTTCTTATTTAGTAACCCTGGCTCGGAGAGATCGGTTTTTTTCTTTGGTTTCACCTTGTTGAAGAAGTTTGTTTTGTCAAGTAATCCATCATCAGCCTGCATCAATAGAATCAAATTGGAAACTTATGCATTTAATTCATTACAAAAAAAATTCAGTACACAAATATGTGATGGGAAACATGTGTATCAAACCTCTATCTGCTCCCCAGCTATATCCTCTTTAAATGCATTTGATCCATCGGTTTGGATAACCTGTTTAGGAGCCATACAGATTAACTTCCCATGATCTGTATTTTCCATAAGAAACTGTGATCGTGCCTCTGGAATCAATCCAACACGCTCAACAGCAGATTTTTCCTTTTTTTTCTTCTTTCGATTAGCATCATCATCTGTAAAAAACCATTTCCAGCTTACATCACACAGAAATACACAAATTTCATTACAGATGTCAACTTAAAGAAATTGAAGGAGACATGCTTTTACGCATTTGAGTAGCATTCATGTGCCACATAGCGCACAGGTTTGACGTTTTAGTGGGTCAAGTATTCTAACGAATGAATGAATTGCACATATGAGTGTCACTCAAAGATATCAAAATAAATGTTTCCCCAGAAGGCAAGAACTGCTCCAGGTAAAATGCAATTGAAAAAAAATTAATACAAAAAGGAAAATGTCATATGGGCTAGATAAAGAAGGCTACAAAGTTATGGATGAGCATCAAAAGGCATGTATCTTGATTAATAACAGTGTTGAACTTCAGAGTGGAGAGCCTTAAATTCATTGATAGGAATAGAAAATATGGACTTCGTACGGGTGGCTGGGCGCACTCCGAACTGTTAAACATTTTTTTTCCTTTGCTCTCAATAAGGATTGACTGAACACTCAACATAGGCTGAGCTCTTTGGACAGTCTAATTAAGTGGCTGCAGAGGGAGAATAGAAAGGTTGTCAGATTAAACTTCAGCCGCATTGTGTATCTCTGGTGGAAGATGAAAACCGAAAATATATTTTGATGGGCATGTTGTCAATGATATGGTAGCTGAAATTAAGGTCATAGTCTATAACATATTGTATAGACTAGACCTAGATTATGTGATTAATTTCTAAACCTTTCGCTGTTGATCATGTCCACCTCTGTTGAGGAATCCTTCTCCTATTTTATATTACGGAGTATATCATTCTTGGGTCCTTATATTATTATTATTATTTGAAGATCCCCAAAAATGAAACTTATTATAAACAGAAATGTTACTTTGATATGCCACAAATTTTTTCATTAGAAATTTGAAACTAAAATACGTAAGAAGTCTTACAAAGCAAGAGGTGACAAAAATATTTTATTGTATCAAATAATCAATGAAAACACAAGTAAACAAAAGTTATCGTGATGATGGAATTGTTGGTCATGTGTCCATCAATTGTCCCGTGATGGAGGCTATGTGGGCCAAGTCACAATCGAATGTTGTTGGCGTTTATGTGTGTTGAATGGACTATAAGGCACCTAATCTAACACCAATTGGTTTTAGAAGAGTTGGTAGCGCCTGAGATCCTACAAGTGGTATCGGAGCCAAGGTCACGAGTTTGATTCCAGGGGGAGATTGTTGGCCAAGTATTCACCAATTGTCCCGTGGCAGAGGCTATGTGGGCCAAGTCACAATCGAATATCGTGGGTGCTTGTGTGCTGAATGCACTATAAGACTAGGGTATGCGCCTCTTCTAACACCAATTGGTTTCAGAAGAGTTGGTTTAAGTCTACAATTCATTTTAAGGAGTATTGATAATGAGAGATGGCTAAACCATACGAGGCACACAAATTCTTGCGTGAACCTAAGCTATATGATGGACCTTCATATAAACCAAATAAGTATTTGCTTACTACTGAGATAAGCACTTTTTTATTTTAAAAAGATAAATAAATAAGAAATTATGCCAAAAGGTCCATGTGGACCTTAGGTCCATAATAGAACTTCTACAAAGCATATCACTTATGTTGAAAATATTTCAACTCTTTTATGAATAACAACATGCCCAATAAAATCCCGCGCGCAAGGTCCGGGGAGGGTGAGTGTACGTAGACCTTACTAGAAAAGGTACAAAACAAAAAGGAATTGAACAAAAAATGTCTAAAAAACAGTTGGAATGACAAAAGTGATAATGAATCCATTGTCATGAATTAAAGAGTAAAAAGAGTAAGCGACTAACAAAAAAGTGGGATGGCCTAATATTAATGAGATAAAAAATAGAACCTTTCTTTTTGTGATGCTAAATTCGTTATAACTAATCTAATTACTAACCCTCTTTCTTCTGTTTTATATCTCCTACAAGATATTAAGGCAAAAATTGATACAGCTGGTCCTAAAATTTCCTAGCAGACTACAAATCACTAAAATCAGGTTTGAAGAGAACATTACCATCCATGAGCATCCTGCACAATTCTGCAGCTTCAGCAGCCTCATCTTCAATTTCCTCTTCCAACTGAGCTTGAAATGGATGCCTTCTCATCTTGAGTCCTTTGACACCATCTAGTTTATCATGTTTCAACTCACAAGCACCCTCATCGCCCTCTTCACATTCCTCTGCATCTAGAAGATTTTCTAGATCTCCAGCAAATGAGTCTAGATCACTGTTGGCTTCAGTGTCACTCTCGTTTTCCTCAACATCAACAACAGAAAGATTTTGAACTTGCCGCTCCCAGATTTCCTGACATTTTTCTCTGGTCTGCTGCTGCAATTGCAAAAAGGACATGCGCTGACCACGAGCATACTTGCTTATTGTGGTCGGATCAACCTTTACACCCGAAGCAGCTTGCTCACTTGACAGTTTCCTAATCATAGCAATTCTGTGCCACCTAGTCTGTTTTGCAATCTGCTCCTCTGGAACATTGAACTTGAGAAGAACCTAAACATTCAAAGAACTTCCATTAGTGTAGTGCATGAAGAGCACCATGAAATATGAGTTTGGTTTGAATAGTAACAAAATTAACTGGCCATCTGGTAGCCACCTTTAGCTTACAGACCAGCCATATTACTTCATTATACGGGCTGAAGTTGGATAAGATGATTATTTAAGTTTTTTCTTATAACTCCCTCCATCCCACAATGAAGTTTGTGGTAAGACCTTATAGAGTTTTAAAAAAACTTTGAAAAGTAAAAAGTGCCATTAAAATTTGTCTAGTAGAGGGGAAATGTTGTAAGCCACATACAAGGAAAGTAAGAAAGTGTAAACCTTATTCTGAGACATCCCAAAAAAGAAAGCGTGAACTACATTTTGGGACATACTTTTTTTTATCTATAATTTCTGTTTGCATAGTTAAGAAAATTCGGCAGCTACATCAATATTGGCCACAACTTCAGTGAAAAAACCATGCCAACGTCACCCTCAAAATAGGCTCTAAGATATCTTGTTCATATTAGAACATCCTTGCTTAAAGTATGACATAGCATGTACAAAGCAAAATGCTCCCTCCATCCCATGAAAGCTACCTATGTTACTTTTTGTTGTCAAAAATTCAAAATTGATAACCTTTGATCATAAAAATCAGGGAAAATAGATTGAATTATAGTGAAAACTTGGTATCATTAGATCCATCTAAAAGTATAGTTTTGAAAATATCACCTCTTAAAAAATGTATATATAAATAAAGATATTAATGATCAAAGTGTGTTGTCTTCAAAAAAAATGATCGAAGTGCACTGAAGACCACAAAAAGTCAAACAAGTTCCTTATTTTGGAACGAATGGAGTATGATATAGCTTTGAATTAACACATTGTTCTAAGTTCGTACTATAAAGATTGACATGAGTCTTCCTTCAATATTATGAAATGTGGGCACACCTCACGTGCAGCTTCCATGCTCAGTCTTCGTAGATCAGCATCTGTTCCAGTAACAGTTGACCCTTTAGTAAGAGCCATTTTTTTCTTTGTCATTGTATTTGAAACAGGTGCCTTAGGAGTAGCACGGACATAACTAAACCCTAATCCTCGTCCAGAAGGATCTCCAACCCCGGTAATTTCCATACGTTCAATGTTACCTCTGTCCTGTACAAAAGTTTCACAAACAAAATGTCAAATTCAAGGCACCTACAAAGTCTTAGCATGTGCGGAAAAACATCGAATATAAAAGTTACCAACCCAACAAGAAAGTAATAGAGCTATAAAAGTACTAACCATCTGTGTTACCATTTCCTTCCACCTCTCTTCCATTACTTATCCCTCCCCTATACTTTAATCAATTACCCCCTCCTCCATCAATCCAGACCGAGTGTAACGTAATCAAAGGCATTTTATATATTAAGAAAAAAGAAAATAAAGCAGCAGAAAGTGCAATGCAAAGCCTGCTAATAAGTAGAAAAACACAATTAAAATATACCTGGTTGGTACATGAAACAAAGTTGCTGCTCAAGTTCCAAGGAGTTATCTGCAGTTCCCTCTCAATATGTGATGCAGCAGCTAAGGCTATTGCTTCATCTGGAAGTTGATTCATTGCAGCAGAAAGGCCTGAGGGATTAGTTAGCCGGGTAATCCCTAAACGTTTAAGCCTGTAGAGACCAGCTTGCATGCTTTCATATGCACAAACCTTGCATAGTGAAGAAACATATAACATGATCAATCACCAGTAAAGGGAAGAAAAAAGTATAAAAGGGAACATTAACAACCCAGGCATTAACAATTGATCTTTACTGAATACTGTATATCTCATTTATCAACATAATGTGTTTACTATTTTATACAATAAGAAATATCCAAAAGAGAGAAAGAGATGGGGAGAGAGACTGAAATGAAAAATGGAATACAAGTCAAACATATTTGTTAATATTTCACTTATTCAAAACACACTCACAGTCACTCAGACTCACACTTCCACTCCATCCCTCCCTCTCCCTCTCTCAACTACTCGATGGCTCAACGACGACCTCTGAGTTTAGTCGCTCGTCGAAGAAGGCAGTCGATGACCACCAACTGACAGGACAACTAGTTGCTGATGAGCCATCAACTTTTCAATGACGTGATAACACTAATATTATTCTCATATTCTCCTCACCAAACTACACATCATTGGACACCAATTCCAATTTAGTATTTTAAATCAATCACGTAGCATCAAACATTAAATAAAGCTAAAAAAATTATAACTGCAGCACGCATAGGCAATAATACACTTACACTTTCAGGGGTCACCATCCTCCTTAACTCTTCTTCTGATGGAATGCGAAAACTTCTCTTCATAACCCAAACCAGCTGTCCATTTGTTCCTCTCTGATGAACCACAATTGATTATAAGTTCAATTACAAATAACGAGACGGGAAGCATCAAATATAAAACTGAAGTTGGTTTTAAAACAGGATAGGATATGAGCACAAGGTTACATGGTTATCATAGAAAAGCCCTGTGTGGCACTAGAGTAAGTGATTAACAGCAAAATACCTGCATATCAGCACAATTTTTAAGCCTTTTCCGAAGGAAGGCCTCTGAAAAGCTTGGAAATTGCACAGACAACTCATCTGCATGGACAACAGGGTGAACACCACGCTTCTCGTCGGCAAGAAATTTACGATACATGTACACAGATAGCCTGTTCATTATGTATGATTGGACTCCTTTTGATCCCGGGGAGATCACTTCCATGTGAGGCTCCTATGCATTTGCGGGAGAACACAAATAATTAGGCAGAGCATGATTGGATCAAAATCCTCCTACAATTCGATCTATGATTTTATGAAGCAAGCACACGGGTATGTCTACAGGCACGACTGCTAGAAATAAAATTTTCTGAAATTATGACAAAAGGGTACAAGAATTTGTGTGATTGTGTGTGTACACACAATGTTTAGATAGTCCATGTATTGGGACTAGAAGAAGAGAAAGGCGGATGTGAAATAAGAGAGATATCGATCTAGGGTTTTAGGTTTTTAACATATCAGTCAAATATTTTAGAATTCTTTTAAAAGAAATCTCAACATAGCACACTTAACCTCTTCGGAAGTGTCTGTAACAAAGACTGACAACATATTCAATACTCCAAATGCTCTTCTAGAAGCTAACATATACACACAACTAAAGCATACAAAAATTTTATAGAATGATCCCTCTCACACAAGAGGAAAAAAACATCAGCAAAAGATCTCAAAGTGAGTTCATCCTTATAAAAGTGAAAGAGAAATTTATGATCACAAACAAGTTATCACTTGGTGTTCAGGAAAAGAAATGGTTTAAAGGCTTCAATGATGGTTCACAAGCATTCAGAAGAAGCAGTACAATATTAAGTTTAAAAATGTTAACAACCTGTTGTCCAACAACATCAATCCTGTCAATGCGCCTGATGGAAAGCTTTCCTTTTGCAGTGCGGACTAATAGATAATCTGTTGATGACACTTTATGCTGAAATATAGGTGCTCGATACATATTCGTCTCGAGGGAAGACTGGCGGGAGCCAGGTTTTATGTCACCCAGGAAAGGTGATTTGTCAGCAGGATCAAGTATGATGAGACTCCCCAATCTGGAGTTCTCATTGCGCATCAAGGAACCTGCTTGATCATTTGGGGTTGATTTTTGGTAATAGGTGCACAATCTTGCACCCATTCCAACATTTCCCAGAAGCAAAGGCCTTTCTTCACAGTATCTACGCATAAAGACAACAATATCTGAGTCCATATGAAAAGCACTATGGAGTATGTACATATAGAAGGAAGTACAAAATCTACAAAAACTGTACAAACATATTTATAATGTTTTTTGCAAGGCATTGGCATCAATTTATGACCTTGGATATGACAAATGTACTTGGTAAAATACAAAGAAATCTAATGATTAGGTTCAAATGCAAACTGTGCATATGACAGGTAGAACCCAATGTACTCTTGCAGATAAAAGATTGAGTCATCAAAAATATGAAAAACATGACTCTGAGAAACTTACTCCATCAGGAAAACATGACCATCTTTAACTGAAAGATCAGATTTCTTCTTAAAGGCCCCGGGAGGACGCAAAGACTTGTTCTCACCCGGAAGCTTTTGTGCCCTAGGCATCAATTGAACTTTTGTGCGAACAAGATGCAGCAAGGAGTTTGGCTGAACATTTTGTTCTGCAAGGGATTTATGGTCCTCAAGCTCCCTCCCCGAGTAGAATATTTTTACTGGTTCAGAGAGTTTAAAATCTGCAAGATAAATATAATTAATGAGGATTGTAAAAGCATCTAGCATATTAGGAAATTTTAGAAACTACAAACCTAGCTTTTTTGAAGCTCTTGTCTTAAGTGAAGAGACAGTTTCCTCAAAATCCACATGAAGTTTACTTCCCTTGCCACCCAAACTTTTCAATATAACTTTCATGGATCCTTGTGTGGAAAGCCTCCATTGACCGTTGCGCACAACCTCATTGTCATGGGGATACCAAAGAGCTCTTGGCCGGTGAAAATTGGAAATATCTTTGCTGCATAAGCATATTAAAACCAAGATTTAATGCTGACTACAGGGAATACACCTTAAATTTGGATAGCATAGAGCACTCGATATTTGGTTGTTTTCATGATATAAGTGTTGCAATATCCATTTTGTTATGGGCGTGAGAAACATGACTAATAAGTAATAGCAACTGTGTCAATTCATTGTCATGTCATACTGTGATTTTCATGCAAGTTAAAAAAACATATGATAATGACGGTAATCATGGTATCAGGAGGTGATTAGATAGAACTTAGAACTTCTTGCCCTTACTGAGGATATGGCCTTAGATAGGAGCGTTTGAAGAGATAGGAGTCATAGGACTAGAGTAGCTGGGTAGGTGTCTTGAACTAGGGGGTGTTGTTGTTGAGTGCTTTGTAGGCCTTTTATGGTTAGTGCTAATTGCTATTTGCTTGCAATACTCCCGTTGCGTAACTTTACTTTATTTAGTTTAGTTTTTATTTTGTGTGCTTGGTGCTTTATTTGCGTTGTATCTGTGCTTTCCTTGCTTTATGTATCTATTGTGAATCTCTTTTATGTAAGTATGTTACTATATGTATGTATAAACACAAAATATTGATACTACACACACACACACACATATATATACATATGTATGTATGTATGTATATGTATATATGGAGTAGATAACTACATTTTTTATTTGCTGGACATGAAAATAATATCTACGAGCATAAGAATAATAATTTTAGTTGTAGTCACCAATAGTACAAGATGTTCGTACTTAACAATAAACCATAAAACAAGATCCTGATACCAAAACTGGGAAAACATCAGTACACTTACTTGCTTAGCTTTGCCTTCATGGTCTCCAGCCTAAGAGCTGGAATTGAATGGAGAACTTTAAGGACATGGGCAGTGCGCTTTTTTGACTGTGATTTTAATAGCTGTGAAGATTTTCTATTGGAATAGAATTCGTCATTGGCAATGTTAAAATTCCCTGTAGGACCTCCAAGAAGTAACTCAACAGAACCACCTACTTTGGCCTTTACCCAACTGGTAGTGATCATTGCGCCAGCATGAAGCTGGATGTGTTTGCTGTCCTTATCGTCTAGAACTTCAAAAAGCATCTGTTTGTCTTGAAGATCATAGATTAGTTTTGGTTTTGGGGTGACTTGTTCTGGTTCCCATATTATGTTGTCCAACCAAGATCCTTCCTGCACTTCCGCATTTAGTGATGTGAGCTGCTCAAAACGCTGCAAAGCACCAGATCTGATTCGGTCCGGAACAATATAATCCTCTCCAGATTTCGTGCTATCTTGGTCATTACTATCCGGTCGAGAGTGTAACCTCAATAGTTGAGGATGAAATCTTCTGCTATGTAAGGGAACATCTATTTCTCCTGAACTTTCTCTTGAACCAAACGGCCCAAAAGAAACACCTCCAAGGTGGATAAAAGATTTTTTATCTCTTGCGTGGGATTCAACTTCTAGATTCAAATTTGAAGTTTCGAAGCCAGCCTTCATTTCCATCTTTTTATCATAAGATGCACCAAAATTGGGTCCAGATGTCTCCATACTCTCAGAAGTCTCAATACTCTCGGCCGTATCAGCACTAGAAACTGGTGAATTTTCCCAAATAATTCTATCCTCCCAATCTTGTTGATCAAGCGGATAGAACTTGGGACAAGAAGATGAACTCCATTCCACAGATATGTTAACTGGCATATTCACCTTCATTGGTTCAGACCCAGAACAAGAGCCCTTTTTCATGTCATCAGCTTTTGCAACTATTCTTCCAGTCTCGTGAAACGATCCCGGCTCGTCATCCATATAAATACTTTCTTTCGTTATACATGCCACTCTCAACCAAGGAAAGTCTTTAAACGATCCTCTGAAAATATCCTCTTCGTCTTCTTCAAGAATTCCTGAAGATTCCGCATTGTTCTTCTCTGGGAAAGGAGAAAGGAAGCCCGACATTAGGAAGGCAGAGATAATTAGGCATGCAATAAAACTATAAAAAAATGATCCTTTCCACTACCAAAATATTACGGAGTGCATAGTAGTATTTAAGAAGACATAAAAGAAAAATCTTATTGTTGTATGTCTATCTCCCTCTCGTCTGGACATTCCTTCCAGTCTCTCTTCTACTTAGTGTTAATTTTATAGACTAGAAACACCAAAAGAAACCCTGAAGAAGAAAAAGAGCAAAGTGTCGATCCTATGATACTAAAATTCGGGCCATCTTTATATTATAGTAGGTAGCAAATGTAAAATGCAGTCATGGTAGTAACATGTAAAAATGAAAGCATGGAGCGAGTGATATGAGCTGAAATCATAGGTTTAGATTGTGGTAAACCTTCCAAGCAGAAATTTGCACCACTACTGGAACAGAGATAGCTACATATTGAGCCGGGTGGGACTAGCATGAATCAAAAAATCCCTTGAGAAGCAAGCATGTAATACCTTTGGCAACAAAATAATTGTGCTCTCTCTTCTCGGTCTTCTTTTGGAGTTCATGAATGCCAAAAATTTCAGAAAACCGAAGGATAGGCAGTCCATCCTCTATACAAAGAATCGGTAGAGGCATGGACCTTTTACCATTACATGGCTCTTCAAAAGCAATAGAGTCCTCCTGAAAATCATGTCAAGAATCACAACCAACCGAATGAGGCATTGCTATGAATCAATAATTATAGCTTGCTGAATTTAAATTAAAATTTCATTGGTAAAGCGTATCTCTTGGAAACAGCCTCCCTACTTTTAAGAAAGGGTTAGGCCTAGTGTGTTGTTGTTTTTGTTGTTGGCTAAGCATATGGAAGCCAAATAGAAAATAGAGTGTCAAACTTGAAGCAAACCTGAAAATCATAAAGATCTACAAGTTCAGGAGAATCCACGGGCTGGACATCTTTAGCAAACTCTTCAGAATAAGGTGTTATTACATCTATTGGAAGTTCGCCACTTTCATATGCTGATTTTATATCATGATTATACTTCCCTAAAAGTGTAATTACAATAAATGGGGTTATTTCAAATGAAAATGTAAGGAAAAGTTATTATTGAACAACAGTGCAAAAAGATTGTCCCAGAGCTGCTCAAAGAAGAGTTATGCTCAGAGACTCGCCATTGCAGCCCAGCATTGGCAAGACCGAAAGACAATTAATGTGCGTGAATGTTTGATTAGTTCACCAAATCCTACCAGATATGGGCATAGTCAAAGCTGAAAAGGACAGAAATCGCTCCAAATATAAATACTTGACCAACAAAAAGCTAATATTTCAAATCTGACCTGTTTCAGGAAACTGCAGGTATTCATTGCTGTTCTCCAATTCATCCTGCTCTGGGACCTCTTCTATATCGTCCTCATCATAGTTTTCATCGTCAAAAACAGAGGCCATGTTATTGAAAGTAGATGCTGATATTTGGTTAGAGAAAAATTCCTTCTTTGGCAGTAAAAGGTCTTCCTCGGAGGAAGTATGAACTTCAGGGCCTTCATACTGCTCATCAATATCTTCATAGTCCACGGCATCTTCTGCCTTGCCATCATAATCTACTTCGTAAAAACCAAAGATAACTAGAGAAATCAGAATCGTGTCAGCTTCAAAAAGAACAAGAAAAAAAAGGATATTCAAGATATATGCAGAACCATCCAGTTATCCTTAGGAGGTCCTTAATACATCAACCTTTTTGAAAGAAAAATGCTCACCGAAGAATACATTTTGGTCCATGATGAGGTCCTTTTTAAAATAAAACACATTGTTTCAAGCAACAAATATCATCCTAAAGATGGATAAATAAAAGTAGACAAACAAATGTCAATAGTTCCAAATTCAAAGGATAAGAGAAATGGTTTTAATATGAAAGTACTAGATGCAGAATAAACATGAAACAAGCTCTGATACTATCATGAGCACTAAGTACATTATATCATGAAACTTTAGTTGTATACAAAAACTAGACCTAAAAGTTCTTAGTGCATAAGTAGATTGTATATGAAAAAGAAATGATGGGTAAACACAGCACATAAAATGAGGAAAAAAAGCCTTCTTCCCAAAATCACCTATATCGGCTATATGAGACATATACAAGATGTTACAAGCCTATTATATATTTCTATCAGCTTGCTAATTCTACGAGCCTATTATTCCAATTTGGAAGTAAATAAAGCATCTGTTGAAATTGATAAGCTGAACATGCAAGTATTTTCTAGATTTCTATAGACTCTATGAGTATTAAAAGAGAGAAAATTTGCATCAAAAAAGAAAATATATAAGGATCATAGAAATGATGTTACTCCCTCCGTCCCACTATTTTTGTCCATTTTAATCTTTTTTATTTGTCCCACTTTTTTTTGTCTCATACCATACTTGGTCATATTTGTGTGGTTCACATTCAAACTTACTACATCTTCCTTTTAACCATCAATATCAATCACACATTTTTACTTTTCTTAATTTCCATGTCACTCATGTCCCAAAAATAGTGGGACAGAGGGAGTATAAGATAAGACCATAAAATATACAGAGTATCAATAAGAAAAAACAACCAGGTCTGGTATGTTAATAAACACCATTCTAAAATCTAAATCACAAGTCTTTTCTAAACATTGAACAAAGAACAAGCAAGCTCATAATGTCACATTCTGAAATTATAGTGACAGTGGAATGCCCATACCAAGCACTTCTACAAACAAAGCATTCCTAGTGACACTATATTACAGATGTCTAGCCTCTAACTACCAAGTTCATTTTGTAAAAGTCTAGAAATGCCATTTTCCAATTTCATGGGTTATACCGGATAGTCTGGTGTGGCTGCCTTCCAACCAACACAGATGCTATCATCTTAGATTCGATAACCTGGCCATCTCCACTAGGCACGTGGCTACTACACTAGGAGACAAGGAACAAACCTACCGATAGGTGGAAACTAGGCATGCAAGGTTGCAGCTTGCAAAAGCTCGCCACGAGCCTAGCAGTAGAAATAGGCTGTGGTCCTTTCATAGACCGACAAAGTGTCCCTATGACTGGCATATGCATGTGCACAGTCAGCAAGAGAACCTCCATACATACCTAACATACCACAACATATGCATGGGAAAGGGGGCATCAAAATATAAATGAGAAAGGGAAGAATAATAACTAGACAAGCTGAGAGCCCTATCACTGATTCTAGTCTATTGTAATACTTATTTATTCAGTGATACAATCTTGGACCACACGTTTTCCCACCTAGGTGTTCTTTTGTCTATCCTTGATAGGGTTACAAACTCAAATTTTGAATAATTAGAATATGAATAGACATTTATTACATGTTTTTTTAAGCATCTCAACCAAGAGTATATTATATTTCGTCAAACCAGCATCAAATTTAGAATCTTAGCTAAACTCTATAATTTTCAATAGTTAACTTTTGGTGAAACATTACTCTTTTTTGGGACAGGGCCACAGGGGTACTGATTTTTTCTTAATAACCATAAGATTTTTCAAATGTCTGATTCAAATCAATCAATTTGAATAAGGTAGTCTAATTGATTATGAATAATATTGAGATTTGATTATTAAACGGGACAAAAACATGTATATCCTCCCTAATAATCAATTTCAAATCAAATAACTGGATATTGGAATAAATCTGATTCGTTTACACCCCCATCCTCTGGGGCTTATCCACCATTCCCCTATCTAGTTGGTCTCTTCCTGATCAGCTCAACCTGATTAAAACGGTGAACCGGTCTAATAGTTGATTACTCCATCTCTCCCATCACAAATAAAACATAAACATATAAACATTTAGTAAACAAAAGCAACATTTTAATAATCATTAGTTCAAGAAATAAAAATACCACATGAAAACCAAAAACTGAACTGCAGGACTTAGCATTCTCTGGCACACAACATCACCTTGTTCAGCAGCATCTGAATGTGCTTGTGGCGGTTTCACAGACAACTGAAAGTTTTGATGAACAGAACCAAAAAAAAATGAATAGATATGCATCGGTAACGATACTCAAGTCAATGATACACCTATCAATGAGAAAAAGATGTTCCTTCATATATCCCAGATGTATCTAAAACATTGACCAAATAATACAGATGAGAGGCAAGAAGCCAGGAACCTCACATCAATATCTGTCAAGGATGGACCAAGCTTGTCGGCCAATGCAGCTAGATGCTCCTTTGCATCCTGGAACCATAATTGCAGCTCTTAGAGCAAGCTAGTGGAAGCACAAGTTTGGTAGGTTGAGGGAACTCTTATAAAAAATTATAAAATATACATAAAACATATATCAAAAACCAACCTCATTGATAACATTTATGATTGCAAGATAAAATAAGAAAGTCATAAAGCAAACATTTTTGTGGATAAGATTGAAATTTTCAATACACTTTGGACACCATAACCGCTGTGTGTGTGTGTATAGTTTAGTGAGATCAAGTTCAAAAACAACAACAACCCAATTGGAACCCACAAAAATAGGGTCAGGTGAGAGTGTGTGTATGCAGACCTTGCCCCTACTCGAAAGTAGAGGGCATCACGTTCAAAAACATAAGAGATAAAACATGGGACACCTGATTTAAATGTAGAGACTCAAAAAAATCACCTCATCAAGGTAATCAACATCAAGATCTCCTGAGTAATCAACATTTCCGAACATAAATCCCAAAAGATGGTTGCCACTACCATCATCCTCGTAATCATCATCATCATCTGCCATGCAAGAAACTAGAGTTAATCATACTTGTCACCCAATTAAGACGGCCACTACAGCATATTACAGTCCAGTCACGAACACAAAATATATATTAAAAAATGTCAAATAACCTACATAAAAGAATACTATACACTGACTATGTTTTGAAAAAAAATCACCCCAGTGATGGCTGATGGCCTGATGCGATAAAAAATGAAGGTAACTACCATTACTTTTTTGGGGAGTATTTCTGAGATCTTTTTAATGTGTTGCCTTTAGATGTCTAAAGGATAAACAAGGACAATTTTGACTCGTGACTGACAACTCTGATCATCTACGAGTTCAATCAAGTCAATATCACATTTTAATTTTGATTAAATTAGACTGGATCCACTGATTATTGACTCATAGTTATATTTTGTCATTGTTCTTTTGTTTTGTCCATCTTAAAATTATTTCATATTTCCTTTTTATGAAAAATGATCTAGTGGTTGTGAGTGTTCCGCTCCTCTTGGTAGATCTCAACCATATAGGCTCCACTTTATCAAAAAGTGTGTAAAGTCAAAGCTGAAGATAGTACCTTATATAAACATGAACATGGCATTACTAGTATCTCAAGGAATCAAGATTAACTACCATGCAACAACAGATTTTCACACATTTTCTTAGTTATACATTGGCACCCACGATTTCAATATTACTTCCACCGATTGTGTAACCTCTTGGATCAACTGCTTTCTACTCATATCCCCAAACTAAATAAAGTTTTAAAGAACAGAAATTTACAAAAGATAATACTATATACTCCCTCTGTCCCACAAAATCTTTCATGTTTTGACTTTTAAAGGATTTAAGTGGAGTGTATTTTGGTATTGACTTTCCAAAAATGTCCGTGGATGTGATGGGTAAAAGTAGGATGAAATGAGTAGATTAATAGTGAATAGATGTGATGTAGTAGGTAGGTTAAGAATTATTAGGGATAAAAGTAACTTTTTAATAGAAATAAGAAAGGTTTTTTGGGACGGATGAAAAAAGAAAGGAAAAAGGTTTTGTGGGACGGAGGGAGTATTGTATATAATAAGTTGAATTGCATCCATTCACCTTTTTATTATATTCACATCATAAAATTTTCCACCGTTTTCTCAAAGATATAATTAAAATTATTACCTTCATCATGGCCATCATGGAATGGGCTACTGGATTCATATCCCATGTTTCAAAACAAACCTACAACCAAATAAAAATAGCAATTTCAATTTTAAAATGATGTGACAAAGAAAACCCTCCGGTTTTCTCAGTAATCATATTTCCTCAAATAGGAGCAAAGTAGACACAAAAGCACGAAAAAAGTAAGAGCAAGTTAGGAGCAAAGAGCAAACAAAGGATAATGTAAGCATATAAGGAATGATCCACACAAACCAACACTAACAACTAGCCCCAACGCTTATAAAGCACTCAAAGACAAGCATAAATGCACACGCAAAAACTACCATTAAGGTCTACAAGTCTACCCAACTACTCTAACCTTAGATCTCCAAGTAGCAACTTATGGGCTATGGGATCATTTCCTTGATAAGATCCTGAAGCATTAAGTACACTGTAGTCACATCATTCTAACTCGTTTTAGGTCTACCCCTGCACCCGCCCACTGCCATAAGCTTCTCGCATTTCTATCACATCCTCAAATAACCTCGGTTATCAAATCTCAAGCTATTAGGTATTTGAAAATAAATTTGGTAAAGGGACATAATAGAGGCATATCCAAGATTTTATGTGTAATACCCCAACCCGCGCAACTCGAACCGACGAGTTACCAAATCGGGTTGCTACTAAATTGGTATTTATATGCATAATATTTTAAAAACAATTAAAAATAAAACATCCATTCATATTTATTTTAAAACAAATCATAGTTTAATCAGAGTAAATAAACAAACGTTGCGGAAGCCTTTAAAACAACATCATCAAACATTTTTGTAGTTTAAACAAATTAAAATCAACAAGTATTTAATTCAATTTCAAACCATCGACCAGCCTCACGCTTCACTATCCTCCATGTTGCTCATCCAAATCTTGACCCCTACCTGTAAATATAAGGTGCGTGGAAGTATCTAACACTAGAACTAACTCATAGACTAGCAGCAATTAACATATAATCATACAATATCAAAAGAATCAACAATTACAATTATTCAACCGCTTGATTAATCGTTTGTCTGTATCAGATCGTTGCATATTCTTGACATACTTAACGTATTCGGATAAAGTCTAACTAAACACACGAGTCATGGACACTCCTGGAGGTGCCAGGGGGCCAAGCTTGTAATCCCAATGGAAAGTGCCCAATTGGGCGGGTTGGAGCCCCCACCACGGAGGTGCCGAGACAGGTCGCGGTCTCCCGTACATACGCTTTAACCCTGGAGATCATCAGGAGTACGCCAACACCTGTATGACCTTAAATTCCTAATTCTAAATTCTAATAGTGATTCAGATTTCTAATTCAGTCCAGATCCGCCTAGTACTACTAGGCGCCCTATTCCACAACTTCCGTTCAACACACAATCAACAATAAATTTTATATTATGATGATCCCACTTACGAGCACGTTCCACCACCTTGATATACTTTTTAATTTAAGTGATATTTCATTAGATTGATGGAATTGGGTTAATTGACCTGACCAAATCTTAAAGTCAGAGTGAAAAGGATTAAATTGTAGCAATTGGAAATATGGAAGGGTCTAATTATAAATTAAAACTAAATTTTTAGTTTCAGATGGAAAGCCCTTTATTCCATCACGCTAGCACGCAGCAGATTTCTTTTGGAAGGAACACACCAAAATTTGCCTCCTCTTCATCCTCACAGCGCAAGTAGCCACTAGCAGCCCTCCCTCTACCAGAAGTCAACAGTGGCAGAAACAAGAGCAATCACCGGACAAAACAGCAACTCGATCGGCCAGAAACACATCTATCAGAGATTACGACAGCGTGGCAGAAAAGACCACACCATCACAGAGAGACGAGAAACAGGGTAGAATAGCGAAGAACAGAGTAGAATCGGAATAGGAACAGAAGAACGAAGTAGCAGCAGAGGCAGTGAAACGAAGAGGAACAGCGCACAGTAACAGCCCACTTCAAATCCAAATTGAATTCAATTACCCCATACCCAAATTCAATTTCAACACAATCAATCACACAATTCAATATTCATAATCACAAATTCAACGTCAACTGAACGAGAATAAATCAAAGAAACCTAATCTACGAATCAATTCTAACGAGATAACCACCACTCACCTCAAATCAATTGGCAAAGAATCCCACTCCAATAGGCGTAAGAATTCCGGCAAACTCGCCCCCTTGGTCTAACCTGGTCGCGCGTCAATTGAGAAGTTGGAGAAGATGGACGGCGATTGGAACGAGCACAAGTACTCCGGCGATTGGAACGAGCACAAGTACTCCGGCGATTGGAACGAGCACAAGTACTCCCGCGAAGCGAAAGACGAAGAAGACAGGTGAGGAGAGATCAGGATTCGGTCCGTATATTTATTTGCCAATACTCAGAAATTAATACTGTATTATATTATAAAAATCTTTTTGTTTAATTTTGAAATGTTTAATTTTTTACACATAAGTTCTAATTACGCAAATAATGTGTCGCTGATCATCTTTTTACAACACCTAGGATGGGTTCGGTTTTACAGGTTCGTCTTTTACTCAAAACCAAAGATAAAATAAGGGTGAGTTAGCAGCTCGGTTTTGCATATAGAATGTGTAAATTATTGTTTATTCCGATCGAATTTATGTGGTTTTTATTTCGGTTTTTTGGGTTTTCATAGTAAAAATTTATAAGCATTAAAATATTATAAAAATACTAACTTGATAAAGCAATAACAATATCTAGGGTTAGGTTAGGTTTTTTTATTCGATTTTTATACAAACCCAAAAACCGAACAGAAGGTTATTATTCCGTTCGATTCAATTTTACATAAAAAAAAATATGTGTCAAGTGTCCAACAAACATCTAGAAGATTCCAAATACTCCCAAAGACATCGTATGTGAATATCAATTGTGAAGAATTTGCATTTTTTGGTATAATCCTTTCATTTCCATTATAACATTAAAGTTTTTTTAATATAAATATGTAAATTACTCATATCAATTTTTTATGTTAATATAATATTGTATTAGGATTACTTATTGATGTTTATATTCTTAAGTTTTTTAAAGTTTAATTAATTATAATATTGTTTAAAATGTTTAATTAATACAAAGTAGTTAAGAAAATAACTTTAATCGACTAGTAAATTATTTGTATTTATGTTTCTATAATTTTTTACATATCACATATACTCATATAAATAAATTGAAGTACCTAAGAAAGTTTGGTTAATTAGAATATTCGGTTTTCCAAAGTGAAAACCAAAACGGAATCCAAACAATAATAGTTCAGTTCGGTTTTTTACCTTTGGTTTCGGTTTTTTTGGTTCAATTTTTTTTTCTAGCTCATTTCCATCGGTTTCGGCTCGGTTTATGTTTTCCAGTTTTTTGACCCAGCTCTAACGAGACCTATCCAAAAATCCAAATTCGTTGAATAATATTATCTCTACGTCATACTTATATATTATCCGTCTATTTTATAATCTTTTCGATAATGGGACGGTCAAATCTCTAATTTTCATAACTCGGATTCACACATGGAATACACCATTGAACTCGTCTTTTCAAGAACTTCAATTCGTGTAAAAATTTATCTATAAAAAGATAACTTTGAAAATGGCTTATTTTTAGCATTGTTTTTTTGTTTTTTTAACTTAATCAAAATTAGAATTATGATTTATTAGAGTTTCGTTATTGACTTTTATGGTATAATTTAGGGCTTTACATTATGACCAAAGGGTCCCAAACTCTCGGGCATTCGAGTCTCCCCTCGGACGCACATATACCTTTTAATAGAAAACTAAAAACAATGTTTGCTATTTGAATAGTGCCATAATTCACAATAAAGCTATGCAAGGAATAATGTTATTTTACAAGTGAATTCTTCTAGCTTTTATATTTTGAAAGCAACGCCTGAGTTTGATTCCTGAACTGGGAGGCAACTATGCTAAACATAGATCCTCGACAAATACGAGGCACATGGTTTCATTATTTACTACCAATTTATGATTAAAGTCTAATTTACCTTAAGTGACAATCCGACGAAAAGGGGCTTTCATGCATAGGATAGGGTTCTTCCTTTTTCTTGAAAGTGGTCTATCATTACGGCCGTGTTTGGAAAACAGCATTTCGGATAGCTTTTGGCATCTTTGACTGACTTTAGCTTTTTTGACCAAGCGAACCGCCAAAATCATTGTTTGGCTAATGGCTTTTTCACTTGGCATTTTGATCCGAAAAGCCAAAATCTGAAATGCCAAGGTGAGTAGCATTTGGACTTGGCGGTTAGGAAAAATATTTTTTAAAAAATCATTTTTGTTGAAAGATATTTTAAAAATAAAAAACACTAACCAAAACATTTTAAATTTATAGTTTAGGTCTTTAGGACTAATAGTTATGAATTTAATCGGGTTATAGATCATAAAATTCACAATCAATTTAGTTCATTAATCGTAAAACTCTCAAACAAAATACAATAAAATCGACAGACATAGATTCATAATAGATAGAGAGTAAATCAAATACCGAACTTCAAATGAATTTAACATTAATTGCCTTTTCACTTAGGTAGTGTTTGCAATTGGCATTTCATTTCAATTCATACATTTCAATTCCAAGATTTGAAATCTTGAAATTCAAATGATAAGGGGTGGTGCTTGGATTTCAAATTAAGCTTTCTTTTGAATGAGAAGAATTTGACTCAAATCCAAATTCAAAATTTTTAAGTTTCACAAACATGGAACTTGAGTCAAATCCAGATTTGAATTACAAATCCATGTTCCTAAACATACCATTAAAGAATTTGAAGATTCAAGGTTAAATAGACTAAAAATTATAAATATGCTGATGGTTGAGGAGATTTCTGTGGGAGGCGGTGGCAAAGTGGGCAAGATGAGCGACTGGAGCCGTTGGTAGCTTAGCGCGGTGAACGTTGGTTGTGCGGCTCGAGCGGGAGTGTGTCACGGCGTCGACAATCCAAAACTCCGACTCCGTCTGGGAAAAAATAGCGTTTCGGACTTCTCATTTTCAGATTTTTCAATGTAGCACTTTTAATCATTATTCATTATTAATTAGTCATTATTCAAGTAAATGTTTGTCATCACTGGACATTATTCCTTCTCCTGGACATTATTAAGTGCTATTTAGGGAATAAAATAGTTTCAGTGCTATATAGAGAAATGACTTAAGTTTTGGTGCCATTTAGTACAAATATTCATAAATATTTTGACTTAACTTGTATTGTTCCCTCTTCTCCTCTCGTATACTATCTAGCTTCTACAACGGATCCGGGATAAAAGGGCCTCACATTGGTCTTGGAACGAGGCATGAGTCCTACAGAACCATCCAACAAGTGCTGCCCTGGCAGCAATGGCTTCTTTAGTAATTAGTATCATACAAGCTCTCAGTTTTTTAGGCTTACCAACGTTCTCCAGGTTTTCTATTTGCTGCAACCTGCTAGACTCAATTGTTTTCGAACATATATCCTTTCTAAATCTGGGACATAGATCTTCCACAAAATCCTCCCAATTAAAGCTATGTTTTTATCCTTGATCATCTTTGAATCTAGAACTTAGATCTACCACAAAATCATCCCAATTGATGGTAGTTCTACTCATCGCATAGCTATGGAAGGATAATTCAGCTCTTCCAATCATATATATTGAAGCTAAATACACTTTTTTTTTTCATCCAAAACTTGACACAACTCAAAGTATATAGCACACTTTCTAATCCAGATTCGAACATCAGTTCCATCAAATCAAAGAACATCCACCATAGTATCGAAATTGAGTAGTCTATGATTACCTTTGTCAATTTGTCTGATCCATTCTTACAGAAATCAAAAGATGCTTCTGTGTCCAATCGCTTCTTGACTCTCGATCAAATTCAAAGGATTGCCTTTGGACTTTCGAGTTTATCTGCTCAATCATCTGTCCAAAAATTTTTCAATGATTTTCAATTCTCTTCTTCTGTTCCTCCATTTGAGCGCCGATCCTCTTATTCTGTTCCAACATCCGAAGTGTGATTGTCTTTTGTTGATCGATCAGTGTTTCTAGGGTTTCTTTGATGGACGACATCACTGCAGATCATCTTCCTTCTCCTTAGCTTGATAGCGCCAGATCGTAATGCTTTGATACCACTAATGCATGCAAGTAGACTTCTCAGGAATGAGAAAGAGGGCCTCGAGGCTCTGTAACGGGAATGGTTAGAGAAGATGGATAGAAGGTAGAGAGAGAGATAAAGTTGAGAAAATATTATTCTGAGTACTCAATCAAAGGATAGGTGCCATATATATAAGATACACACAAGAGGTAAACATGAAGAGTAAAAGTATAAACATAAAAAGAGTAACAATATAGGCGTGCATCTGTTCACTAAACACAGCTAGTTTTTTTTTCCTTCTTTTGAGCCATAAAAAGAGCTCGTTTTCCATGAACGCGACTGTCCTCTTAACCCAACACGCCATGAAATTTGGCCAAATCTAATCATGTTCAAAATTTTGGCATCACTACTAAGCCACAACAGTTTCCTTTCTCGAGCCTTATAGCTATTATGGAGTGTGAACAAAAATTCAACACATATCTTCATGGGATATTATATCACTCAATATATAGACAATTGAACAATAAAGCTTGGGAAAGATATATATAGGCTAACAAACAAAATCATGACAACATTAGACCATGCTAAGGAATGATGAACCATCATCTACCTCCAGTATAAATCTCAAAAGTAGCTTGGCTTTTCACTGCCAAAACCAAAAAAACGATTATTATGACTATTAATTGTCACTATTATTATATATAGCTGCAAAATGGGAAAGGGTGCCGAGCAGAACAAGTATGGAGGAGGAGGAGGAGGAGGATGAAGGAATATAAAGAGCTTCTTCATGCATATGATTAGATTTGGCTAGAGTCCCTCCCGAAAATGAATCGCCTCATCCAGTCGGACACCACCAAGGCCCGTGTACGCCAACTCACTTGCTTGCTTGCGTACACGGAATACCAGAGCCATTGAGAGCTGTGGCCGATTGAGACCCAATCCCACGGCAGCTGTGCTGCTGTTTGCTCTCCTCCCAGTGGTGCAAATTGTCCGAAATGCTTGTACCTGAAGGGGCGGAAACGGTGGCGCCCTTCCCCCCTGAACCGAATTGGACCCTCCGGATCCTTCTCACACTTCTCCATGCGGTTGAAGCAATCTGCAAGGTACACACCTTGTTGGGATGCAACCTGCATTTGAACAGGAAATTTTGATAGAGAGAGAGAGAGAGAGAAAAAAATACCCCAATCACTAACTACCATATGATTAATTTAATTAGTTTGTCATCAGAGTGTATTATTATATCTGTCTCTAAACACAAACCTGAGCAGTGGCGGGAAGATTCTTCATCTGAGAATCGACTTTGGAGAGAGCTGCTTTGAATTCCTCAATGTTAATCTCAACAGATCCTTTAGCATTGCCCCCTTTTAGTTCTCTCAACAAATCAGACAGGCTACTCATTTGGTTGTTCTTCAAGTAGAGATCCATTTGAGGGTACCTTTCGCATATATCATTTAGCACCTCTTGGAATTCTTTTACCGTTAGTGTTCCAGAGTTGTCCTTGTCTGCCTTTCGAAATATTACTGCAATATCCTCCTACAAAGCATGCAACATGAACCATTATTCACAGTGATGCCTGCTAAATTTGTATCACACTGGACACAAATTAATTCTTGATCTAGGTTTTTTATTAAAACAACCTCTCCACATCTATAGGTCAGGTGAGGTCTGCATGCACCTACCTCTCCCAGACCCAAACTTGTGGGATTTCAATGGATTATTGTTGTAATATATGCCAAATGACCTCCAGAGTTAGGGATCAAATGCATTGGTATGTAGTTTAAAAGGGTAATACCCACCATAACTTTCCGTTGATTGATTGTGGCAGTGTCCCCGAGTGCATATACAGTGTCACACCCTTCAACTCTCAACCACTCATCAGTTGCTAAGACGCGTCTATGGCCCTGTAGAACATGTGAAATTGTTAAACTAAGAGGCTCAATACTGGTACAATCTAACATTAGAAACCAATCAAGGGCAGTATACTTGCCAACATCGGTTTGCCTTGTTAATACCAGAGTATTTAATTTACTTATAATGAATAGTTAATACACACAAAGATATATGCACCTGACCAATTTCCTTCATAAAATTCACTACCAAAGGACGAGACCCAATGCCAGTTGACCAAACAATCATTCCATAAGGTGTAGAAGTTATGTCCCCTCGTTTAGCATCTTTTGTAGAAATTTCCTTATCTGAAACTTTAACAACCATTGATCCTGTTTTAACATCAATTCCATCTCTCCCAAACTTGTCTTCAGCAAAAGCTGTGATTCTCTTGTCAAACCTATAAAACAAATAGTAAAGGTGGCCAAGACAAAACATGGATTTAACAGTCAAATCAGTAAGGTTTGGAAAGAAGTAGAAATAACAACGCAAGCATAACAAATGGGATATAGGGTTAGAGTGAACAAGAAAGTTTTTGTAGCAGCTATGATGATACTGAGGTCAGCTTGGAATGTTGCTAACCTCTATACCACTTTTTTGGTTGAACTCCTACGACATGGTTTACATGCCTACCATGGGGTTTGCACCTTATTAACAGTAAACAAATGAGGTTCTCTATTACTCCCTCCGTTCCTTTAAATTCTTGCACATGTCATTTTTTGTATTTAGCATTACTAAGGTTGTACAAGAAGTCATTTTAACCTTCTATACACCATTCACATCATCTATCTTCAGTATCCCATCCCCATTTCACCCACCCTATTTTGATAATTGTACTCTCATGGGCAAATATGGAAAGTAAATACTATTCTTACATTTGTCTAAAACTCCATGATATATATTTTCTCCATCAAGAATCCAAAGGGAGGGATGGAGTATATTAAAGAGATCGTAAAAGGACAAAATGGTAAGAAAATCCAGCTGGGATAGGTAACAATAATACTCCGTATAAAACAACCCAATGAGGCGCCAGAAGTGGAGTCTTGGAAGGGTGGATACATTCAGATCTTACCCTGCCAATAATACTATGTGGAACAGCGGGATCCTAATATCTTTTATCAAAAAAGCAACACTAGTAGGTGGAGCATCACTTGCAGCTGCCTATTTAATGTATGTTCGAGCAATACCACACAGTTACCAATGAATAGGGAAATAAAATCTTAGTTTCTTACATGTTCAATATATGATCTGTTGCTTCCACTAGTGTAATCTTCACAAATTCCTTGACCTTGGGATATAGCCTAACAACATCTTCACTGACAAAATCATGGAGTTGTGCTGCGAATTCCACACCAGTTGGGCCACCACCAACAATAACAAAGTGAAGAATATTTTTCCTCTCTTCATCAGTGAGGTTAGGCAGACTCGCTCTCTCAAAGCAATCAATAACAGCTCTACGGATCCTCTGAGCATCCTCCACTTCCTGCACAAGTACTAGCCATTCTTAAGGCATAGACACCAGAGAGAGAAAGAGGTGTATGTGTTAGGTCCGCAACACATGAAAAGATGATAAGTGTTATAGATTACCTTCAAGAACAATGTATGTTCTTCCACACCAGGAATATTGAATGTATTTACACGAGCGCCAATGCCAATCACAAGGTAGTCATAATCTACTGCAAACTCTTCTTTCCCATTCAAATTGTTGTTCAAATTAGATCTACAGTATACCTTTTTGTTCTTTGCGTCAATCCTTATACATTCAGCCTCACAGTAACGCATATCTATGTTTTTCTGCATAAAATTGTTCAAGTCAACTTTTTGTAAGAGAACCAGTAAATTCATTATGTTCAATCGTTCAAGCATGCAATATTACTCGGTAAATGATTCAGAGAGTCGAAGATTATCAAGTGTACACTTCAAGAAAATGTGCAATATAAATATTCAAATGTTTAATACTCCGAATTATGATGTATACAGGGGGTGCCATTTTAGCTTCTCTACTTCACCTTTCTGATAATGTTGCGAATGGGTTCAACAACACTGCGACCTTCAACCGTGCCGCACGTCACACTTGGCAGCAAGGGAGTAAAAGCAAAGTAATTGCGTGGTGATATCACCTGGACATCATATGAGGGATCTTTAAGATTCTTCAAGAAACTTGTTGCAGCCCAACCTGTTCCAAGTACAACCACTTTCTTTTTCTTGTTGGCTGCATCAGTCAAAGCATGATGGTTAATGCTATCCTGTTGCTGTGTTGCATCAGAGTACGCCACAAGGCCTCCACCACTGCCAAATATGGAAAATCACAAAATGTTAAATGCTCTGGTAATTCACAAGAGACATGAGGAGCTAATCTGTAGATCCAATCCATCTAAAATAATGAAAAGAGCTGAGAAGCACATGTGACTATCTGAGTGTAGTTCTAGAGCAAGGAAGATGAACCCAATCTCTACGAGTACCCGGAGTAGGAGCTAATGTACTGGAGCTAAGCAATACGGAGTATTATTTTCATAGAAATGCACTTGTTCCATTTTAGGCAAATGTGTAAAATCAAGCAAAAAATACAAGGTAATTAGCTCAATGCACATACTAAGCAAATTTTAAACACAATTTGAGAATTCCTTTGTCAGAAGGTTACAACATAGGTAGGGAATCCAGCCTTAAAAACTGACATAAAGTGACACTCGCATTAATTTGTAGTGTTTACTAGGGGATTAATTAAGTAAATACTCCATATGATGACACGGACCCCAACATAATTGGGAGAATGTGCAGGATGATTATTACAACGAGTCAATGACTAAGAAACAGTTAAAAGCTTTGTCACACAATGGCAAGCGAAGATCTAGATTCTAGAAACTTCATGCGCAGATCGGATTAAATACATATTAGGCCAGCAATCGAAGTTCATTCAACGGAAAATCAAATTCCAATTCAACGCTTGCTCATATCAACATAACGAAATCACGATCGCGGGATGAAAAATCAGAATCACCTGACGGTGAGAACGATGAGAAGCTTAGAAAACGACGTATTCTCGCGGAAGGTTCGAGAAAACCTCTGAACCAGAGTTACTCCCTGCATTTTCCTCCTCAAAAGCGGACTTCCCCTGCAAAAACTTCAGATCACCTATCAAATACTCCGGAACAGAGAATATACACAACAAATGAAATGCAGGAGTCGTAATAAACATCAAACAAAGCTCCTCTGCGAGAGACTTACCGTTCTAGAGAGAGAAAATCTTCGAGCTGATGAAAATATGAAATGAATCGGGGACGAAGAAGGGAAAGAGGCGTTGATCTCACTCCAAGATGTTGGGCCGTTGGGTCATAGTGCTCGGGAATTTTCTTCCGATTCAGCACATCGCGGGCCAGGGATGTGACACGTGTGCGGAGACGGTTATACGAAACAGTAATTCTTCTCCCCAGTTTCCATTTACTCCTCATTTTACTCGTACGTGACCGAATATAGAGTGTGAACAAAATGAACCAATGGGAATTGGGAAAAGTCAATTTTCCACCGAATACTTTTGAATACACACTTTGGTTTCAAAAAATATTCCCTACAGACTGTAGTATAGCATTTGTATTAACATGGAATTGAAGGGCTGAGAGTGTGTGTTCAGATCAGGGCGGAGGGTTATCGGAAGATTAGGAAGTACTAACAGTTAATTTCACGAATAAGGCACCAGAGCATTCCTGTGTCATCCCATGACATTACCAAGCAATGTCAAGAAAACTCTCGCTTTGATCTTTTATCTATAATTAAATAAAGATTAAATTATATGCTCTTCTCCAAAAAATTATTTTTCCTTTCTTTTTTTGTTGTCTCACAAAATCTTTCTTATTCTTATTAGAAAATAACATTTACCTCTATTAATTATTACCCTACCTATTAAGGGTATTTTTCGGAAATCAACACAAAATTTTCACTCTCTTAAATTTTCCAAAAATAAAAATGGGAACATCTTTATGAGATGGAAAAATATTATTTAAAATAATATTTTAAAAATATTTTACAACATATATTTAATAAAATTATTCTTGTGCCAATATACAATATGTATAAAATGTATTTAATTCATTTAGAGTAAAAAACGGGATTTTTATTTTAAGATGGAATTAACTAAAGTGAAATTTGCACTAAATAAGACTAAAACATAATGACTTTCCTAATGTAGGACTTAAACTTTTTATTCCCTAAATAAGACTTAATAATGACCTAGTGGAAGGAATAATGTCCAGTAATGATGGACATTTAGTTAAATAATGACTACTTGATAATGACCAAAAGTCCTACATTGGGGAATAAAAACATATGGTCCTATATTGGGAAAGTCATTATGTTTTAATCCTATTTAGGTAAATTTCTCTTAACTAAATTTGTAAGAATGACTAAATGAGAGTCGATTTAACATGTTTAGATACTTCCTTCGTTCGAAAATATTTTTCCATTTGATTTTTCACATTCTCTAATATTGTACATACTTTGATCATTAATATCCATATTTATTTTAGCCGGTCCTGTTTTAGGTCCACAAGTTTACGACCAATAAAATTTTCAAAAAACTGCTGCCGGGTACCTCATGTTTTGTTGTAAGACTGCTAGATACCTCTAGTTTTCAAAATATACTCTCAGGTACCCTAGATTTTACAAAAATATACTAAGGGGAGATTTTCCGTCCCCTTTCCGTCTTTCCCTCTTTCTCCGTTACATTAATGCACCATCATCCATCATCACCATCATCATCCATTTTTTGTCTTCCTCCTCTCTTCTTCTTTTTCTCTTTCTTCTTTTTCTTCTCCTCCATCCACTTCGAATCTCCCTGCCCCACCCCTCACCCTTTATTTCTTCTTCTTCTCCTTTATTATTATTATTATTATTATTATTATTATTATTATTATTATTATTATTATTATTATTATTATTATTATTATTACTATTATTACTATTATTATCATCATCATCATCATCATCATTATTGTTATTATTATTATTAGTATCATCATCATCATCATTCTTTTTTATTAAAAAAAACCATCATTCTTATTATATTATTACTACGTATTATTATTATTATTTATTACAAATTATTTTTTTTCTTCTAAATTATTATTGTTAATATTATGAAGTAATATTTTCTTCTTATTCTATTATTATTATTATTATTATTATTATTATCACTTTGGTTCTCATGACATTGGGAACCAATGTCATGAGATGACCCGAGGGCGCTTTGGTTTTTTTGTTAAAAATATAGTAGTAAAACAACTAAATAATAATAATAAGCATAAGAATAATAATAATGGTAATAATAATAATAATAACAATAATAATAATAATAATAATAATAGAAAGAGAAGAATGAGAAATAAGGGTGAGTGGTGGGGGTCTAGAAGAATAAGAATAACAATAATAATAATGGTAATAATAATAATAATAATAATAATAATAATAATAATAATAAAAGAAGAAGAAGAAGAAGAAGAATGAGAAATAAGGGTGAGTAGTGGGGGGTCTAGCGGGTGTGGAAAAGAGGGGGAGAAGAAGAAGAAGAAGAAGAAAGAAGAAGAAAGAAGAAGAAAAAAAGGAAAAAGAAGAAGAGGAAGAACGAAGGAATGAGGATGGTGGTGTTGTAATGATGATGATGATGATGGGTGATGGATGATGATGATGGTGCAATAATGTAACGGAGAAAGGGGAAAAGACGGAAAGGGGACGGAAATCTCCCATATTTTTTCAAAATTTAGGGTACCTGAGAGTATATTTTGAAAAATAGAAGTACCTAACAGTTCTTACAACAAAACATGAGGTACTCCGCAGCAGTTTTTTGTAAAATTTTTGTCCATTTATTTTCGCCGGTCTATTCATTTTTTTTCTGATTTGGCACAAGTTCACCGTTTTTTTAAAGTGCTAAAGCATACAATTTCTTTTTTTGGCTATAGAAGCATACAAATTCTTTAATTCTTTATAATATCTTTTTTTAATGTTATTAACTCTATTAGAATGTAGTATTTATTTACATTATTCTTAACTTAATGAGGTACGGAAAACCAGCACCTCTCCTTCCGCTGAGGCTCGAACTTGTGTAAATTTTTCTATGAATCTTGGAGAATAAGATTCACACCACTCAAACCAGTAGAAAAGTTCAACATTGCATCTTACTATTTAACTAGCATGTACTAAAAAAATAGTTTTTAAACTTTTGGTGTATAGAATCTATTCTTTTATTTATATGTGATTTTTTTATCTTAGAAAAGTTTATATGTGAAAAATTTTAAAAAATCAAGGTTTTCTGGTATTTACTCGGATCCGACCAACAAAACTAATCTAGACGGGTCTGGGCGGTATCTATCAACTTCCAAACAATTATCAAAAGTTTCAAATTAAAATTCCAAATATCTTCAAAAAAGCAAATTACATATTATTTATTTGACCATCACACCACATATAAGAGATATAGAGGGTGTTTGGCAGTGATTTGAGTGGAAGTGATTTTATTCTGTTTGGCTTCTGCTTTGAGTAGAAGTGATTTTATTCTGTTTGGCATTTCAACTTCTGCTTTTCACCACCACTATTTTATACACAGAACATCGTTTTGGAGAAGCAAGTATGAGGTGTTTTTGCTTTCAACTTTTGTAATAATTACTTTATTCAGAAATTAATCACTCCCAAACAAGCTTATAGTACATACAAATTATACCGAGTACATTTTTATATATAAATCTTCAATGAAATGATTGAAGAAAATTAAACACACATCTACTAGCTAGCTAGCTAGTTCATGTGCATTATCAATTGCTCTCCTCGCCATTTGTGATCATCCTTGGAGTTAAATAAAGCCACACATATATCAGTGTGCTTGTTGTTGTTGTTGTTTTTAAATAATATAGACTTTGGAACCCGTAATTGTCTAGGGGCATTTGGCGCTTTCCCGCGGAACATTTTCATTTGAAACACCATTGTCTTTTTTGGCGTACAATATTCAAAATGCAATTGCCTAGCAATCGCAGCCTGTTCATAACAAATTTAAAGATTAAATGAATTACAAAAAACTTCAAACTCAATTATTGGTGTCTTCATAACAAATTCAAAGAACTAGTCACTCATTATGTTCCAGTGTATTCATCTAGTTTGATTTTTTCAATCAAATTAGATAAATTTTAATCTTCAACTACTCTTAATTTATATTCCACATTAATACAATCAAATAAAATTTTGAAAATTCTCAACAAGATAAATAAAATGAACTCATTTTTGTACTAATGTAAATTGCAAGTTTTATATAATTGAACTACAAAGTTTATTCGGTTTGAATCATAAAATCAAATTAGACCAATAAGGAAATTAGAAATTGACTTACAGCTTCTTGAATGGTCTTTGATACGCGAAACAGAGAGATCAAATCTTCATGATCAACACCACAAACTATTCTAATCTGCATGACAATCAATATACATATAAATATCTGCCACATTATTATTTTTAATTACCCATTTTCAAGAAACTAATTTCATTTCATTACAGATAATAAGTTACCAGAATATCCTGAGGCAATGCTTCAAGCTGCGACTTCTCAAGCGCGGCGGCGGCCGCCGCCGCCGGAACAACAGCCTTTTCAACACCACTTGTACTTGAAAACACTACTCTTCTCACCGGCACAAAGCTTAGAGCTTCATACTCCCCCACAGCCATTTTCTTCAGCAAGAATTACTTCAAGATCCAATTTTTAGTCAACAATATATAAATCAAAAATAAAAATAACCTAAATCTCAAGGATTAACCACTTAAAAAAACCCAACAATATGAAGCTATATATCTATTTGTATATAAACTAGTCCTTAGATTAGAAAGAAAAAAAAGAAGCTTGATTTGTGGGCAAAAAATTAATTGGGATTGGAGAAACGGTTTTATCCCTAGAAGGAAATGAAAAATTGTTAACTATGTGTCAATTTTTTTTCTTAAAAAAAGTCAAGCTTTTTTCCATATATACATAGAGAGAGTCTTTTCCTTTGATTATTTCATGTTTTTAATTTTCTTTTTTTAAACAGATAATTATCTTTGTTTCACATAGATAGAGAGTAGAACTCTATTTCAATGTAAATTTGAAAGAATTTTACTCCGGTTATATTACTCCTCCGTAAAAAAATTATAATATGATAAAGAGATAGTTTTATTTACAAAAAAAATATTTCATTTTTGTTCATTTCAAGTAAAAACTACCCGTATTAGATCTAATTTGTAGACAACAAGAAGTAAATTTACTGAAACATTAACCCAATAATCAAAAGCTATATATCTTTTTTTATGTAAAGTATCTTTAAGATTAGGAAAAAGCATGAACTTGGGTATAAAATAGTGGCAGAGAACCTCCAATGAAGCTTGATTTGTGGGCAAAAGTAAATTGGAATTGAAGAAACGGTTGCTCCCTAGAAGAAAATAAAAGGAAATTACTACTCCCACAAAAAAATTGACTTGACATATTATTTTATTTGAAATACGAGTTGAAAATATTGGGTTTTGAACAAAAAATTTATTGACCGATCCCAAAGACGATCAATCTCGAGATGACCCAATAAAAATGAATCAAACTTGTTCCATCTTAGCAAATCGACCCGCTAACTTATCACTCAAAATATGTGTAAATTAAAATATGCTTGAGTAGGAAAAAAAATCAAAATGAGTTTGTACTATGACACTATGTATTGGGATTTCACAAATTTTTGTGGTGTTATATGTTGATATTATTGACATTGTAACTCAAATTTTGAAAATAAAAATATAAAATTCCTATTTTAGTAGTACTTTCTGTATATTTTACTCCTAGTTTAGTCTTTTTTTTATGAAATAATATCGCTATTTTAGTATGAAAAATAATGTGATAAAAATAGAGACATGTTTTCATAATTTCATTTCTTTCCTATGACTCATATTTAGTTTATAAGCTTATATTTTTTAGAAATCATCCTAAATAGGACTAAAACATAGAGAAAAGTACTAATATAGGACTTTCATGTTTTTTTTCCCGGAATAGGACTTTGCACTATGGTAATGTGACTTTGCATTGTGGTAATGTGGCAGTGTACATGTGCAAATTATTATACTTTTTTGGTAATGTACATGACCACGTTTGGTAATGTAAGTCCTATTTCGAGAATAAAAACATGGAAGTCCTATTTTGATATATTTTCAATGTTTTAGTCCTACTTTGGTCTTTCTCCCTATATTTTCTAAACAAATTTTTAATAATATCACATACTTACTCTGTATATTACAGAGAACATTCCTTTCCAAAATTCGTACATATTTAAGTTATTGTATCATTCATAATATTGTTAAATATATTAAAAAAGTAGGATGTAATTAACAATCAAAAATAATATTATCTTCTCATTCATCGTCATCCCTCCTAAAAAGTAATGGAAATTTTGGAAAATCAATTTTATTTTTTCTTTTCCTTAAATATGTCCAAAAGTCAAAACAAGCGATTTAAAACAGGACAGAAGGAGTACTCTGTAGTAATGTTACATCTTATTTTAAAGATTTTTTTATTTAGTTTTTAAATAAGTAAAATGTCCAAATAGTAACTAGGCAAAATAATCGGGAATTGTGGGAGTAATTGTGCAATACCAGTTATGCCCTTGGAAGATTGACAAATTCGTATTGGTTTGGTTGGCAAAATATTATCCCCAAGGGCACATGCCTCAAATCGAACATTTGACAATTGTTTTTAAACATTGACATTCGATTGCCACCAGACAACATTTACAATTAAAATAGCCGTGAACGTAACTTAAAAAGATATGTTTTTTTTTTGTTCTTTGTAATGTTTTGACAATTATTGTACAAGGCAGCTGGAAATCATGAAGTGTTACAACATTTTCTAGTCTACATTTTTTTTCATCTCCTAAAACATGTAACAGAGGACTTAGCCCTATCACCATATCTAAGGTGCTTCAGTGCAGATTTTACCCCCTGCAACCTGGTTTTGTACTCTTTATTCCAAGCTTTAAACCTCAGCTTCAGTTTCTGTGGGTCCCCTTTGCCCGCCCCGACATTTTCTTGGCTCGGGCCATCGGTCGTGCCGACGTTCGCTAGCAGTTCTCCATCGTAGTGCGCAACGCTAGAAGTTGCAATTCTTGGTGATCCATTGTCTGCAACTATTTGGCTTCTCTTGATTGCTGCTAGACTTGTCTGTTCATGATCACCCAAAAATATCAGCTTGTTGAACGTTTGTTTTCTATTTCGATGTATCAGACAATCACATTCTTAAAAAGTTAAAATCAAATTTGATTTCTCCCCTCCTGTTTTCTTGAGTCTAACTCGTCGAGAATGAACAACTATATTAGTATGAAGTCTCTTGGGAAATGTCCAAAAACAAAACCACGAAGACTTGGCTTAAAGCACAGACAATATCATACTAATGTGATTTTAGAGTCGACATATGATCCTGACAACACTTACATACAACATGAACCCGATAGACAATGGTGTTGGCATACAAATCGAATCCCACACCGGTGGAGAATGAAAATAGAAACCAAAATAAGTAGGTTCAACCCAACCCACTAGTATAAAGCCTTTTGGAAGGTGCCCAAAAACAAATCCGTAGAGACTTGGTCCAGAGAAAACAATATCATACTAATGAAGGGGTTGGAGTGAGGGCACGGATGGCCCAACAAATGGGATACTCAACAAGAAAGAGGGAAACAAGACTAACCTTTAGAGTTGTGACTTGATCTTGCCATGTCTTTTCGAGGGACTGCATCTTTGATTCATACTCCTCCAATCTCTTATCACAGTCTGAAATGTATCTCTTGAGTGAAGCATTTTCGTCATTCGCTCTTGCCAAAGCAGTTTCCGATATTTGCAGTCTCCTCCGAAGATCGACTAACATCTGAAACATGAAAAACCAATTGCTTATCTTGCTTTGCTGCTACAAGCTTGAACTTTTTTTATTTGATTCTTTTGAGAATGACATATCTTATTTCTACCAATGACAAGTTAAGGCATTTTCTAGGAAGCATTAACCTCTCTGTAACACACACATACCTTAGTGTCTTCATCCTTCGAGCCATGACTTGTGGTGTGTCTTGAATTCATGTGACTCGTCATTTCCTTTTCGAATTGCCTTCGTGTCAACCAACCCCGAATTCCTGATAAAATGTAATATGCACATAAGTTATTACACTTGTCAAAAATTGACCGACCTATTTTCGATCTGATACCCGACCCTGAAGTACTGGAGTTTGAACAAGAATTTAGTTAAATGAAAATACACTAAAACATAAAAATTGTTCCAAAATAAGACCTTCTACGCTTTATCCACTAATAAAGGTGTTGGCACTATGAAACACACGTACTTTGGCATTGCATTATAAGTCGTATTTTGGTATAAAGACATTAAAGGTCCTATTTTGACATATGAAACATGTTTTAGTCTTAAAAAGGTATATCTCCCTCCGTTACCTGAACGTGACAGATTATCGAACCCAAAATAACCCATTAAAAATAGGCCAAACTCGATCAAATCCGACCTGGCCGACCTGAGGTAAGGCTTTTCATGCATCATGAGTATTAAGGAGTCATTTGGCTTTGATTCATAGAGTTAATTCCGTCCAGAATCAATAGAGTCGTATTTGTTTCAGATTTTGAAAATGAATATTCTGTTTCTCGAATTCGATTATCGGAAATAATCAGCTATATGGTCCTCAAGGATTAATTCATAACGAAACAACCGATTTCGAGAAGCAAATAAAAATGGCAGTCCTGCTTACCAGATTGGAGACATATGATAGCTCTTAGCTTCTCTAATCTCTTGTCATCTTCTTCCTTCCTTGTAACAGCCTGTTGGTAATCTTTTCTTGCATTCTCACCTCGTACAACTGCAAACATTTGTTTTATTAACCTTTTTTTTAATATATAAATGTTTAAAAAAAACAAAACTTGAAAAGGGCAACAAGGGACAAAACATAATAAAACAAGAAATAATAAAAAATTGGATTACATGATTGAAGTGCAATGGCTGCTCTCTTGAGTTCATGATAGTAAAGGCGGGCTTGATGGCCATGGTAACATCTCTGGATTATCTCTACCCCTTTTTGTATCTCAACTTCTTTCTCATTGTCACTTATCTATTGAAAAATGTAAAAAAAATGTTGGAATTACACATAAGAGTTTGTCACAAGAGAATTGTTATTAAAAGAAGAAGAAGAAGATAAACTCTATCCCGGAAGGAATTAAATTAGAATTCCATCTTAAATTTAGAAATAAAGAATGAAATCTGTCCTGATACGTGAAAATATCTCATACGGAGTATTATATTATTTATATATGATTGTCCTTGACCGCTTGTGTCACGGGTCGAATTTGGGAATTACTTCATTTTACATTCCCTATTGACCAACTAAGCTATGCATTTCCTTATTAGTTGCACAACTTGCACTTATAATTCATCCTCTTGGTAACCCTAGTTAATATTTCTTGCTAGCACAATACTGCATTTTATTAAGAACAGATTAAATAAAAAAAATGTCTAGTTAAAAAATGATAAAAGTAATTTTTTGAAAAATATAAAAATTAAGTTCAAAATTAAAGAAAATATCACACACACAAAACTCAGAGAGTAAAACTACTTTAACTCCAAGGAGGTTGGCAACACAAAAATAACTTCGTAGAAACATTTACTCCCTCCGTCCACAAATAAACTTTACGTTCACTATTCACAGGGTCAAACTTTATCCACTTTGTTGGCCTATTTTCGTCACCCATTTGATAAAATAATATAGTTATGTCACCTCTAGTTTTATAGATTTTTTGATATAGTTTTTTAATATGTAATTTTTATTTTTCAATTTTACACCATTTTTTATACTACATATAAAATGATTTGAAAATAACTTCAGTCAAACATGGTAACGCGTAATGTAAAGTTTATTTATGGACGGAGGGAGTATTATCTGTGAAATATTGAGAGAGTATTTGAATATGACTTTAATTTATTTACTTTTTGAATAAAAATAACATTTGTTATTGGTAAGTCACCGCACGGAGGAGCTTAATCTATCTTTTTCTACATTTTTAATTCTTTTAAAAAGTATTTCATTTTTAAAAAATTAGTATTTGAAATTTGAATGTTACTCGGTGCATTTTTTAGGTGATTTAATTTTCATCCCTCAGGTAACTGTCTTAGGTGATTGTGAGGACATGATTCGGTGCACTTTTTTAATATTTGAATGTTATGATTACCTTTTTGTTTTCTTAGGTGCAATATTATGGTGACTTTGAAGTTTGAAAACATATTTGGATTTTCTTGACTAACCAATATTTTTATAAGACTTTTTAATATACTTTTAGACTTTTTTAAATTTACTTTTAGACTTTTTTGAACCTAGGTTTAAAAATAGGGCCCACATTCTATGAACGTTAATGCCTTTTGGTACATAAAATGTAAGTTGTAACTTGTTTAAATAGGGCCCACATTCTATGAATGTTAATGCTTTGTGGTACATAATTGTAAGTTGTAACTTGTTAGAAGGGTCTAATTCAATGGTGCATCAAGGTTTGTAAAATTTTATGAACCTTTTTCATATATTCTTTTACTTTTTTTTGAATAAAAAATGCTCATCATGATGGTAATAAACTCTTACTACCATCATTTGTAAATACACCAAACCGCACGGCGTGGTCTAATACGAGGATATCAAACTCCTAGATCTTAAAATCAATTCATGACTATGGTACTGTGAAAGTTATATTCTTTGTAATAGTTTCTTGTGCGCATCGGGTACAAAGCGACCTCTCTAAAGACCAGATTAAGATTATACTATGATTTACACCTTCGCTATCCTGTCGGGTTGGGGTATGGGCCCGGAAGGCAGCATGAGTGGGCGTTCCACCAATCGACATTGTGCATCTTAATTCTTAAGGGTACCAAAGAATGTCTTGTTTTACAAAGGGAAAAAACTAGGGAGATGCTAGGGGTACACCTTTCCATTTGTACATCACCCCCTCCATAACCACTCATTTATTTTTTCTTTTTATTTACTTAATTTTTTAAAAAATTTCTTGCCTATTTAAGTGGTAATGGAAGGGGTGGGGGACAAATGGGGTACACCTTTGGTGTACCCCTAACATTTTCCAAAAAACTAAGTAGTTTTAGATCATTAAAAATATACTTCGGGTGTCAAAAATCAAAATGGAGATCCTACTTTGATAATTTATCTATGGGTTACTCCTATTTAAGGTGCTTTTTTTATTTACAAATTACAATACATCCCGAAAGTAAAAAAGGTTTTAGTATTTGCGTAACTTATCATTTATATATTCTTTCATAATTTTTTATTGGTCATTTGATAAATTAAAATAGTCATGTCAATATACTGAATTTTATACTAATTTTTATATAAATTAAATTAAAAAGAACTTGCGGCATGTTTGAAAATTGAAATTTGGATTTCAAATCTAGATTTGGCTCAAATTCCATGTTTGAAAATAAAAAAAATATATTTGGATTTCATGCAAAATCTATTAATTCATTGCAAAACTCAATTGTTAATTCATACTCCGTATATTTTTCATTGTCATTTGAAGTTCAAAAATTTATATTTTGAAATTGAAATATAATAATTAAAATAAAAAAACTAATTTCCAAACAGTACTTTAAGTCAAACATAAAATACTGTAATATGGAGTGCTCCCTAATTACCGAGTTTTCCAAATAAAAGAAAGTTTAAACCAAATTCACCACAATTTAAGCAACTAAAAAGTCAATTCTTTTACGCCAAGTCAAACAGGCTATAAATGGACGTTAGATGATTAGATCTACTAGAACCCCCCAAAGTTAAAAAAGAAAAATCAAGTTTCTGATCCCTTTCTATTTCAAAACAAGATTCGTGTTTGATGGAATAAAATGACATTTTAAAACTATTTTCATTTGACATAATAAAAAGTCAATACCAAGTTAAAATACGCCATAGTTTTGTACAAAATTAAATAAGTGACGAATATAAATAATGGTAGGCCTGTCTAGTATGAGCGTTAAATATTAGTGTTAGTGTTTTGAAAATGTTAAGATAACTTTTAGTATTAGCATTTTTAGAATTAATGTGCACCATTAAAATTTTATTCAAAATGCTCACACTAATCGAAAACGTTATTTTCAAACAATGCCATAATTGTACGAAAATGTGCATATGTTGCGAGTTTAAATAGGTACTCCCTAATAAAGAGTGCAAAATACTCCTTCCGTCCCTAAATAAAGTTCCATTTTTGACTTTTTGAGGATTTAAGAGAGGGATATTTTGGTATTGACTTTCCAAAAATACCTTTGATGTGATGTGTTAAAGTAAGATGTGATAGGTAGATTATTAGTAAAAAAGTATGATGTGATAGGTAGGGTAGAAAAAGTAATGGGTAAAAGGGGTTTTTTAAGGAAAAAGAGAACTTTATTTAGGGACAAAGAAAAACGAAAGAGGAACTTTATTTAGGGACGGAGGGAGTAGAATATAATTCACATGCCTAAGAAAAAAATTGCTCCCTATTTAACATTCTAAGATTAAAATTCATAAAATTTACATACTGTAAAAAAAGAATAAAATTCAAAATAAACAAATACCCGAAGTATCTGTTTTTTTAATTTGTAATTATTTGTTTAATCTCAAAAAAATAATGTCTTATTTATAAATCTCAAAATAACAGTGTAGTAGGTATTTATATTTTAAAAAATTGATCCAAGAGCACTAAGAAAACATTAAATTTTGCAAGAGCATTTCTGTACAAAAGGCTTTCTTTTAAATATATATTGAACTAATTTAAATAATATTTTGCAGTAAAAACAAAATCAAAGCAATGCATATGCATACTTCAAAGATATGTATTAATTTAAATTCAAAAAAATTGCAATTAAAAGATAAAAAACAAAATGACGGATTAATCCCTATATTAAGTTCAAATTTACCTTCTCCGGCAGATCGGAATCAAGCAAATCCCCCTCTGCAATTCCCCTGCTTCCAAACAAATCGTCGATCTCTCCGTCGTCCAGATCTCGGCAACCGGTGTAATTTCCCTGGAGGTGAAAGGGACGAGGCCTCTTCGGGGTTCGCGGCCGCCGGGCTCTCACCACCGGCCGCGGCGGCAGCGCGGGAGGGCCGTCGTCGTATTGCTCGTCCGACGACTGCTGGAGCTTCGCGAGTAGAAGCTCGAGCGAACTGAGGGACCTCGTTTCGCAATTCATCGCCATGGATGGATGAGAAAGGAATAATGTTCGTTTGAAGGCTTTTGTTGTTCAGTAATGGGAGAATTTCAGGTGGTTTTCTGTGAAAGTAAAGGTGGAAAAGGAAGGGATGGGGTTTTTAATTTTGTTTTTGTTTTCGGGTTTGGCTTTTTCTTGGGGGAGCGGCAAAGAGAGGATAAAATAGAAATTTGAATGTGAAAGAAGAATTGTAAGGTGAGGAAGAGAGAGAGAGAGATTCAGTGGGCATGTGAATATCGGCGTTTGGGAATTAATAGCATTCCCAAAGAATAATGCTCTTTTTTTTTTAATTATGCTCTTTTGTTTGGTTTTGAAACAAAAATGAATTTGAAAAAAAAAATGAATTTTCATTGAAAAAAATGAATCGGCAGTGGAAATACCATTCACGCCCCACGGTGTCATTCAGGAACGCCCAAGAGACATTAAACACCGCCCCCTTGGGGCTTCACTGCAGCGTTAGAGCACCGGCGTCATACGTTTGACGCATCAATCCCCCCTAACAGCTAATATAGTTGTTGAAAGCTAAAAAAAAGAAACAATTAATTAATTTTTTTATGAATTTCAAACTTCTCCTCCTCACATTCTCACACTTTCAATCCTCTTCAATCTTCTTCACATCTTCTTCAATTCTCTAAGTCTCTTTTGAACATGAATCCTTCCGGCTCCGGCTTCTTCCCGATGATCTCGAGCCTCACGAGCACGAGATGTGATATTTCCAACAATTTGGGCAACAATTCGGGAGTAATCCGCCGATGTCTGAGACGCAACAATCGGAGTACGTTGAGCGAGAGTCGGTTCTGGAGACTCAACCGGGACCATCCGGCATGAAAAAAAGTACACGCCGGAAGAGCCACAAAGCGAAAGGCACGATGACCGAGGCGGCACGGCCAGTCCAAAAGTGGGCGCCAGAGGAAGAGTTCTCGTTGGCGTCGGCTTGGTTGACGTCTCCGAGCATCCTATCGTTGGTGAAAATTATATGGTTTCTAATATATTTATGTTTTTATTTTTATAAAAATTACCGGAGTATATGTTTTCTAATATATATTTTCTTGTTATACTTTTTTAAAGGTTTGGAGCAAACAAAGGATGCGATGTGGGATCGTATCGAGTAGAAGTTCTTCACGACGATGAACAAGGACGACTCCTACCGTACCCGTGACCAACTCACTTCCAAATGGAGCCACATCAACCGTAAAGTCTGAAAGTTTATCGGAGTTTACGAGGAATGCGCCCGGTCCCGGAGGAGCGGGACGAACGACAACGATCTTTTCCGGCTTGCCACGGCCCGGTATCAAGATGACGGGCACCAAGGCAAGGTGCCCATCAATCTTTAGAGGATTTTGAGCCGTTCACCGAAGTGGCAACAACTCAACAATTTCAATGGCGGATCGTCAGAGAAAAGATTCTCCGTCGACGCCGATGATGAGGTCGACGACACTATCAGTTCGTCCAAACAAAGGCCTCCCTTCAACAGTGCGGATTCCGATGACGATGACCGCATTCCACGGCCGATCGGAAGAAGGAAGGCAAAATCCATTGCCTCGGGTTCTGGAGGGTCTGGCTCTATTTTCGTTTCTTCTCGCGACGATATCGGTCGGGCAATGGTTGAACAACTTCGGGTTTTCAATATTCGAAAAGAAGAGAGGATGAAGCGAAAGGAAGAGAAGAACGAGATCGAAATCAGGGAAACCGACCTTTCTACGTTATCGGCCTTCAAACGTATGATCTTCGAGAGAAGACAAAAAGAAATCAAGGCCAAATATAATTTACCTTAGTTTTTTATTAATGTATCTTTTTTATTATTGTCGCTTTCTTTTTTTTAATTTAACGAATGTAATTTTTTAAAATTATTGTCGTTTCAATTTCTTTAAATTTAATGAATGTATTTTTTAATTATTCTTGTTTCAATATAATTAAATAATAAAATAATTAAATTTAATTAATTTAGTTTTAGAAGATGTATATTTAAAAATGTAAAAAATGAAGGTTTGAAGCCCCTGTTTGAAGCCCCGGGGCTTCAAACCCATTTCCACTGAATCTGTGAGGTAAGTTAAAGCTGACGTGGCAAAGAGAGAAATTTTGAAGACTCGGTTTGAAGCTCTGAGGCTTCACGGGTATTTCCAGTGCTCTAAAAATAGTTAGCTATGGACAAGCACTCATAAACTTATTTTTGAACATCTCTCAACAAGTCTAATATTAACGAGTTGGATTGAACATTTAAATACTAATTTCTCTCGTCTCAATCCCTTTATTGTGGGAAGCGGTATACATACTAAGAAGAGAGCGTTTTGTATTGTGTTGTTTTTTATAATTTAGCTTTTGCTTTAAGTTGTTATTATTTTATTCTGCTTGGCATACCAACTTCCAGTTTTCTTCCATATCATTTTGTATAGATACAATACTATTTCAAAAAAAGTAGATTTATGATGCTTTTGATTTCAACTTTTGTAAAAATCAATGTACACCCCTAACAAACCTTCTCTCAAACTAAGACCCACCATTCTGAGAGCTTAATCCAATGATCAGCCATTTTCGATTTGCTTCATCTTGCATCCTCACAACAAATTCACGTGACACGCTGTCCAAACTCCTTTTTCTAGTTTTGAAGACTTCCGATTCAAACCATCAAACACAGATCTCCACTATGCTAGTCCATATGTGTCTTCTGGTCCTGTTGGCACTCTATTGACTCGGCACAACACAAATAACTCCTTCGATCCTACTTCAGTCAATAGCCATCAACTCCGAGAATTTTGCACATTGTAATTTCATTATTGTCCCCTTTAACCAGGGCTCTAATTCCACATGTTGAGACCGTGCCAAACACTTATTATTTGAACCCTACATTAATAAGCTATTATTCTCCTTAATAAGTTAATCATATTCTAATTTATTTTTTACCACATTAAAGGAGTATTAGTTTCTCTCTTTTCCACTTTGTATACTCAACAAAAAAATTAGCACTACAAAGGTTATATAAAATGTACTTTGCCCTTTTGATATAAATCCGACTTTCTTTCACTCTTGATTATATCACATCGAAATCCAACCTTCTTCCGTTCTTGTTCTTGAGATTTGATAAATTTCTTATTTCATGATTTTTGCACTTTAGGGCCTAAAATTCACTCCATATTAGAATATTTGACTGAAGATATTTTCAAATGATTTTATCCAAAAAATGAAATTGAATTAAAAAATAAAATTAAATATTTAAAAATTATATGAAAAGATCTACAAAATTATATGTGACATGACTATATTATTTTATAAAATTGAAAATGAAAATATGGCAACAAAGTAAATAAAATTTGACCTTGTGAAGAGTAAGCAAACACTTTCTTGTTGAGCAGAGACAATATATCAAAATAAAGCTTTACTTTCTGTATAGTTTACCAACCAAACAAAAATATTGATATTGTAAAATGCTTGTTATTTATGGATTGTCCGGAGGGTGTGCAAAGTGGCCAACCATATAGTGTCTCTAAAATTTTAATGTCTCATATTTTTAAATTCGACATTAATTTTAAAACATAAGTATTCTAAAAAAATAAAATAGGTCCAAAATGTAAATTTTGAACCGGACCAATTTTATTTTTTTGTTTTTCGGGGCAGGCCCTGTCATAATTGACAGATATTTTGACATTATAGAATATTATAAGAGATATTTTTGTATTAAAAATATTGAAGTTACTATTGTTGAAACACGGGTTTATCACGTTTTCGTACTAAAGCCGTGTTCGTTTTTGTAACAGGTTTTGATAATGCCAAACCGCCGTGATCAAGTCGAACATTGAATATACAAGGCGAAGAACGAAGATAAGAGCAAGAGCTAAACAAAGACCAAGAACGAAGACCTTAATCATAGTATTGAGTCGGTCTTTATTGTGATCAAGACCGACCCAATCTTTACACCTTGGCTCTTTAGGCTAAAATCTCTCATTGCATTTCTTACATCATAAAAACGTTTTTCAAACTTGTTTAAGTCATTAAAAACACTTGGTATTCGCCCAAACCAAAAACCAAGCCATCCGGCGTTCGGGTTTCAAAAACCGGCATTCGGTTTTCGGCGTTGGTTTTTGGCGTCCGAACTAACCAAATGGTTTTCAACTTTTTATGACTAGTTTTTACTTCTGGGAACATTTAAATAGTTTTTCATCAAAAACACTTCAAAAACCACCTTTCGTTTTTTGTCGTTTGATAAAAACCATGTGAAACGACATTAACTTAGCTAGCCGTGGTTTTTACTTAAATGAAGTGGTTTTCGAGTCTTTTGTGTGGGAATTTTTTTTGAATGAATTTAAATGGTTCTCCAATCAAAACATCATGAAAACCACTTTTCGGTTTTGTCTTTTGGTGAAAACCACCCGTGTACGGTGTTGACTTGGTCAACCGTGGTTTTTACCTTAACGACGTGGTTTTCAACTTACAAAGCTTGTTTTGACATAAAAATACATTAAATAAGTGTTTTATATACTTAGTTTTTACTTTGGAGAACTTTGCATTTTTCGGTCGGGTAGGTAACCGTTGGCTTCAAAACTGAAGGAAAATTGGCTTACCAGCGATGGCTAAGTTCCAAACATCGATGGGAAGCCAATATTCTGCAGATCCCAAATTTATTCAATCCCATAAATCAAGCCAATCACCCGTTTAATGTATTGGTCCGTTGGAGCCTATTTTGGCACTATAAAAAAGGGTGTTTGGGTCTGCTTTTCTCATCAATTCACTTCACTTTATTCATATTATCATTGTATCCAAACAACATTATTTTCCATAGCTTTCTAGAGCCAATTTGTGAAGTTTGAGTTGTTCTTGAGCGTATATAGTTTACTCAACATCTACTCTTAAAGAGAGTCTTGTTCTTGAGTGTTCTTAGTGTTGTAAACACGTTTAGGGAAGCTTGTTTCCCTTGGTTGTACGAAGGAAAGGTATTTTCCTTCGGGTTGAAGTCTTGGAGTGCGGTATCTCCGAGCAAGTGTATTGAGGCTCGTGGGACTCGAGTTCCCAGGTTGTAACGGTTTGTTAAGCACCCGT